TTTTATCCAGGGATACGCTAGGTATTCCTACGTCCTTACCTCCACCCTCCTCCGGAAGAACCCGCCGTGGTTTTGGACACCCCTCTGCGAGGACGCCTTCCGCGCCCTCGAGAAGGCGGTGACTTGCGCGCCGGTTCTTCGCCTTCCCGATTTTGATCGTCTCTTTATCGTCACCACCGATGCGTCAGATTTTGCAGTAGGAGCTGTCCTTTCTCAGGTGTTTCCCTCTCCTCCAGATTCACCTTACCTCCATGTTCCTCCTTTTCCCCCCCCTCCTGCTGACACTGCTTCTCGACTGACGCCTATCCTACCACCACTTCCCTCCACTGACAGTCCTCCCATTACTTACTCCCCGACCATCGCGGAGGATGGGACTGTCGAGGCTCGTGCTGGGGATTGCCCGATCGCTTTCTACTCCCGTCAGCTACTACCTGCCGAGATAAACTACACTGCCGATGAACGTGAGGTTCTCGTAGTAGTTTATGCTACCCGACATTGGTGTCATTATCTGCACGGGGCGCCCTTCACGGTGCACACGGACAACTCAGTTGTCCAGGCTTTCCTCACGAAGCCTAAGCTTTCCCCTCGACAGGCATGCTGGTGGCGTGACTTATCCGAGTTCAGTTTCACCACTTAGCCCATCAAGGGTGAAACGAACCGCGTCGCCGATGCCTTGTCCCGCCGTCATGATCATAATCAGGAACCCATCCATCTTGCTGCCATCTCCATCACCAGTGTAAATCAGTCGGTGATCGACGCGTATCGCACTTAGTACCGCCACTGCCCCGATTATCGCGTCATCCACGCGACACTGCGGAGTGGCAAGACCGTTCCTTCCTACTCCCTCGGGGAGAACGGCCTCGTGTACTGGCATGGCAGATCTGGTCAGCTAGAACCATGTATCTGCATTCCCTCCATCGGACAGCTCCGCGTCCAGGCTGTAGCAGAGTTCCATGACCAGGCAGTTGCCGGTCATATTGGTTTCCACAAGACGTTGGCTCATGTTTGCCGCCTATACGTCTGGCCGAAGTCCAAGGACTTTGTCAAAGCCTACATCCAGGAGTGTCCTACCTGCCAGGAGGTGAACAGTGCGAACCACCTTCCGTATGGGTTACTTCAGCCCCTACCCATACCTGAAGGTCGTTGGCAGTCTATCTCGATGGATTTCATTGGTCCCCTCCGCCTACCCACTCAGCGAGGTTATGATGCTATCGTGGTCGTCGTCGATCGCTTCACGAAGCGTGCACGTTTTGTTCCGTGCCGCTATCGCATTAGCGCTCGTGAGGTCGCCGACATCGTCTTCCACCGAGTCGTGAGAAATCACGGCTTACCTCAGAGCATCATCTCCGACCGTGACCCGCGCTTTACCAGCACATTCTGGCGATGCCTACACGAGGTGTACGGATCCCAGCTCCGCTTCTCATCGTCTTACCACCCTCAGACGAATGGTCAGACTGAGGTCACCAACAAAACTCTCGGTAATATCCTCCGAAAGTTTGTTAGGGATGACCAGTAGTGGGACTTACACTTAGCCCACGCGGAGATTGCGTACAACCACGCTGTTTCGCCAGCCACGGGGATGTCGCCATTCTATT